CTCTTCTTCTCTAAAAGGAACTACTGGGAAGTTGGAAATGTTGTGCAGCTCAAATAAGACACTGCTGGTTTTAGACACCTTAAAAACACTGTTCTGAATGGAAATAAGAAACCTTCTGTCAACAACTCTTAGAAATAAATTCCTTTTCAGTTTCGGAGCTGGTAATCCATGAAACTACTTAGCTCTGTATAAACAAGTTAACTCAATTTACACACATCTCTATTGCCACTGGAACTCAACAAGTGTTTGATTTTTTTTTTAATTCTCTGTCAGGGGTTCAGCAGTAGCAGCCATTTTTCTCCTTCTTAGTAGCTGGTGCTGTGTTGTGCTTTTGACTTTCAGCCTGGGAACAGCGCTGATAACACCAATGCCTTTAGTTTCTGCTAAGTCATGTTTACTCTGACCAAGGACTTTCTGAGTCTCATGCTCTCTCAGGGAGGAGGGAAAGCTGAGAGGAAGCAGAGACAGGACACCTGGCTCAAACTAACCAAAGAGGTATTCCATACCACAGCACGTCATGCCTACTATATAAACTGGGGGCAGTTACTTGGAAGGGCTAGATCGCTGCTTGGGTCAGGCTAGGTATCAGTCAGTGGGTGATGAGCAGTTGTATCCTCTTCCCTTGTTATTTCCCTTATCATTATTATGATTGGTGGATAATATTATTATGATTGGTGGATAATATTATTATTGCCCCACGTTGGGCGCCAAAAAGAACTGTTGTGGTTTAAGCCCAACTGGTAACTCAGAACCATGCAGCCGCTTGCTCACTCCGTCCGTTCTTCTCCTTCCCCCATTCCTGGAGGGATGGGGAGGAGAATTGAAAGAATGTAATTCCCACGGGATGAGATAAGAGCAGTCCAGTAACTAAGGTATAACACAAACCACTGCTGCTACCACCAATAATAATAACAACGATAAGGGAAATAACAAGGGAATAGACTACAACCACTCACCGCCTGCCAACCGTTACCCAGCCTGACCAGAGCGGTGATCTATCCCTTCCAGGTAACTGCCCCCATTTTATATAGTGGGCATGACGTGCTGTGGTATGGAATACCCCTTTGGCTAATTTGGGTCAGGTGTCCTGTCTCTGCTTCCTCCTGGCTTCTTGTGTCCTTCCTCACCGGCAGAGCATGAGAGTGAAAAGTCCTTGATCGGAGTAAATATTACTTAGCAGAAACTAAAAACATCGGTGTTATCAGCACTGTTCCCAGACTAAAGTTAAAAACACAGCACAGCTCCTAAGAAGGACAAAAAATGACTGCTATTGCTGAACCCAGGACACAAGATTGAACATCCACGTTAGTAAATGAAATGGAGCTTGTTTTTATGGTTATTGTTTCTTACTCTTTGAGTGTAATGGATCAACACTAGCTCCCAACTTAATTTCATACTTGAGAGTATATATTTATAGTGTGTCAGTTTCTTTTTCTGTGTAAAGCCAAGTATTTTCTGCATAATCAGCTCACTCTTTTACAGACAAGCATCACTCAAGAGCAGATAAATCAATTATATTTTTTCTCTCCATTGACTTAGTTGCTATGTTACAAATTATAGGCAAGGTACATGTTGATGATAGAATGCAGTAAGAACATTCACTTCTAAATCAGAACAATAATTATTGTACCCTTACACTCAGGCTCCACAGGCACTTACCCCAGCAAGATCCTGACAATGGAAGCTTCTATTTGGTGGCATGTAACACATCAACTATTTTTTGAAAGTGGGGAGAGAAACAAGTTTCTATCCCTTATATTTCTCAGATGTTGCAGGATTGGCTTCGGTGCTCTGAAACTTTGAAACAAGCTGTTGAATTTGTGCTCTGTATAGAGTACAAAGTGAAAAAGAAGATCAGGAAGTGAAAGTGCTAATGAGAATGAATGATGCTAAAATCTGTCCCTGTGCTCCCAGAAGTACATTGACTAATTCTTCAGTTGTTAGGCTTCAGGACTCAGCCTAAAGACTCATTTCCACAACTGACTTGATGACAATGATTTAGAAGGCAAAAAGAGACAGAAAAGCTACTGACTGCTGAGACAGACTATTTTTTAACAGGAGTAGATTAAAGTATGGTGATTATGTACTTAAACACAACTCTGATTTCAAGAAGTTTTTAAAGCTAAGATTAATGTGTAAGTGCTATTGAAACAAAACATTGTGTAATCTGTTAAGAAGCTAAACCTCTCTCTGAACTCTCAAATGTTTTGCAAAAAAAAAAAAAAAAGAGCAAGTGACTTCATTCACTCTTTAATTAGTATGTAGCAGTCACAACAGAGCATTACCTTTCTAGACAAGGAAGTAAAGTGCCTAGCCCAACATATCCCAGCAAAACTAAACATGCATCAGTGTAATCCTCTTATAATAACATTGAAGAATGACTCAGTTTTTCAGAGCTGGCCAAGGTCTCATCTTAAGCCATGTCTAGATTGGGTCATCTTGAGCCAATCTAAGGGCATGCATGTTGTAAACTAACAACCAAAAAAAGTCTGGGAAGAGGGAAGGATGTTAAGCATTTGTCTACCAGCCCTCTTCAGGGTCTCCATGCTCTCCCTCATGACAGCTGGAAAAAGTAGAAGATGCCTCTACTTCTTTTAACAGCAAAATTACAAGACTTTAGTGTTTGGAACCCATTTATGGCAATAAATTTATCATTAACAGTGTTTGCTATTGATATTTCTCACTAAAGGCACTAAAGGAAGAAACTGTCAGTGGTTTTTGTTTTCTTCTCATGCGTAAATACTGGCTGGATTAAATTTCACTGAAATCCTTGAAGTGTCACCTTTCATGTGAGGTAAGTGGAGGAAATCCCTGAGATTTTTAGTGGAAAAATAGGGCTGGAACTGTCTCAGATTCTCAGGAGCAGCCTACATCCCCACCAAATGCAGCCAAATGGTTTCTCAAGAACAGGAGTGAGCTCTGCTGAATATTACTTTGGACAGCAGTATACATGCGTCTGTGTGGCAAGAGCTCAGGATTTGAAGCCATGAGACATATGTAGCCTGATTTCATTACATGGAGCATGCAGCTACCTAGGGCATCATACTGGAGAGGACAGTGTACAGTGGGACCCAGCCACCTTTGAAAATTAGGCTAGCTGCTGCCCACGGAGGTAGAAGCAAAGTTGCATTAGCAGTAGCTCTTGCTGAGGAAAGTCATTTTCACTCCTCTGTTCACAGAAGAGCAAGTGAACTTACCTTTTCAGGGCTTTGTCTCTGTTCACCCCATTTCTCAGCTCTATTCCTTCTACCTTTTGTTATTCAGTGGCAAAAACCAGCTTATCTCTCACTCCTTATCCTTCATAAAGACAATTTTCCTCATCTGGCATGACAGCTTGGATTATAGATCATTTCAGCTGCAGCCTTAAAAAATGCATAAATATCACCCTGAGAAACACCTTTCTAAGAGGGCTTTTGCAAGTACTAATTTAAAAGACTTTTGGTGCTATTTCTTTAAAATAAGTATTACTCTGCTTATTCAAGGAAGCAGGAAGCATTGTGTTGTAAGCAAACTGAATTGCATTAAAGATTTTCATGCCAGTTTCTTTTCCAAACCTGCAAGATTAATTCATGATTTGTTTCCTAACTTCTCAGGTCAAAGAGATTAGAAATACAATAAAAAAACACCATGTGCCTTAAAAAAATCCATTTTATCTCACTGGGAGTCTTTTAAACTAAAAGACCTCTCACAAGAAATTACCAATATCAGCAAGTAAGGTCACTTTAACATGTCCATTTTATTTTGGACACTTTATGGCCTGACTAAGCTGATAGCAGAGTCCAAGTAAGATCATTCAGTTGTCATCAGTAAGTACACTATTTATTAAACTTCCTCCACAGAACCTAAAGAAAAGATGTCAAGACATAGGTTGTTGACTTGCCCACAGCAGACCAAAATTAAATTCATTCTGTGCTTTTCCACTATCTTTCTTTCCTCCCACAACTGACCTGGAGAACTTGTAGCAAAGATAATCTGCTATGCATTTGTATGGTGTCAGCACAGTGGGAAGTGCAAAGGTCTTTTAATAATAAACAATGTAATGACAAACTTTGCAATTGAGCTTTGAGAATGATTGTGCCAGTGCCCTGGGTGCCAAGTTCATTCACCATTTCACAACCTGACAAAAAAGGTGTCTTCAAAGGGGAATTCAGGTGTTACCCTGAACGGGGTATGTAATTCTGGTCCTGTGAAGTCTTATTTCAGTATTCCCAGAGGCAGACCTCTTCTCATGTGTTCTTGACAGGTTCTTGGAGCAGAATATGGTTCTAGTTTCTCCAGATTAACAAAACTCATTTTTCTCTTGCCGTTTCTTTTCCTGAGGCTGTTTTCTCTTTTTCTGTAGACCATCTCCTCCACTGAACAAGGCATTTGACTGCCCACATTCTGGTACCTCAGCTGGCATCTATTGTCTACTCCCATACCGTAACAAAGTGCAGTACATGGGCTGAGGACTGAGTCAGTCTGAGAGATTAATCTTGGATCATGGAGTATGACAGAACAGGTGAAACAAAGCAGTAACTGCCACCTCAAAACACATGCTTATAGTATATTAAAATTAGGTCTATTCTTCTGAAAACGCCCGATAAATTTCCTAGTGCTCCAGGCACGGAGAGACAAGCTACCCACTGCTGGCAGCCTGCGGCACAGCACGGTTACAAAGTCAACTTTTTGTACATGAAACTCTGGAAAGTGGCTGCAGCCTTCAGCTCGGTTGCGGAAGTTGGCTGCCAGGCACTCCAGTGCTGCCAGTGTTGCGAAACACCTACTTACACTTCTCAACGTTTCCCTGGAAGTCACTGGGACTCCAAACCCCACCAGGCATTGCTCCAGCCTTTTGCGCCTGTTGCAAGCGGCGGGGCCCCTATCCCTTCTGAGGGTCGGGTAGTGGGGGTCGGCTTGGGGTGGGGAGCACCCAGCGCTCCTCTCGGCCGCATCCCGGCCGTCCGCGGGCACCTCCCGCCCGGCAGCAGCGGGGCAAAGGGATAGAGGCTACCCGGCCGCCCGCCCTCCCTCCGCTGAAACCAGTCCCCGAAGAGAAAGTCACCAGGGGGTGGGGAAATTGTGACAACTCCTGGTAAACCGCCGCCGGCAGCGGGAGACACGGACGGGCTGCAGCCCGGTGGCTGGCAGCTCCCCACCGCCTCCGCCGCGGCGCAGCGCAGAGAGCCCCGCCGGGTGCCGCTAGCCTGCTGGCGGCCACAGCAGCCATGGACTCACCGCACCGTCCGGCGCTCGCACACGTCTTCAGGGGCACCTTCGTGCATTCCAGCGCCTCGGCGCCCATGGAGGTCCTCCACGGACACCTGCTGGGGGTGGACGAGAGCGGGACGGTGAGAGCAGGGGCGAGAGAAGGCATGTTGCGGGGGGGCGCGGGGGTTCCCGAGCCGCCGTTCCGCTCCGCTCCACCGGGGTCGGAGTGCTCAGGTGCCCTCTTCGGCGGCCCCCTGGGTTGGGGTGAAAACGACCCTTTATGGTCCCAACCAGCGGACCAGGGCAGACCGATCGGCGAACCGGAGGGGTAGGGCCGCCTCCGCCGCGCTCTAGGGAGAAAGTGGCAAAATTCCACACTCCCAAGTACTCGGTGTCCGACGGCTTATAAGAGCTGCGGAGAAGCGGTTTCTTGTTCGTAGGAGCTGGAGATAACTGGGATGGCGCGTTATCTCCTTGGACGAGTCTTCAGGTAGCTTAAATTTGGTTTTGAAGTGTGCTAAATATTAGTAAAACAGCAGCGCGCCTGCTCAGGGCTTGCTTTCACATTCTCTCGGTTTTCTTTCAGTTTCACAAGGGTGTTTTTCATTCTCTTGAGCATCAAAATAATGACTCTGCATAATTACAGTGTCTCCCCCCCTTACTCGTGGGCAGTCGTCTGACTAAGGCTTTATGTTTGTTGGGGGTTTTCTGTTGTCACAAGATAAAGCATGACATATACCTACAAGGAGTTAGGAAGGTGATGACGTGGGGCATGTTAGTGGCAAAGGCCGAGTTGGTTTTTTTTTTTTCATAGAAATAACATATATAGGTACCTTATATAGATAATAAAAAGAAGTTATTTTCTTTCTTATGGCTAAATAACAGGCTTCATTGTGTCAGTACCATTTGAAATCTCAGCAAAGCACACTTTCAGCCCTCACAGTATTTTTTTCCTCTGTTAATACAGGTCCATGAGGGCCTGCTTAAAGACAGCCATCTTACAGCTCTTGAGGAGTGTGGCGCAAGGCATAGCAAAGTCTCAGAGAACCTGTATTTTCATGTATGGGAGGGGAGTGAAAGCGTACGTAATTCAGTATTGGCTGCTACCAACTAAAACAATAGAGCTATGAATGAAAAAAGGGTTTGGTTTATGTAATGTTGGCACAGGGGGCAGAGACTCATACCTCTGTTGCCGTCTGTAAAGGCAGTTTCCGGAAAAGGGTTTCTACTCAGCATCCATAGGAAATCAAGACTTTTAAGTGATTTTTCTTGAAAAGCAGGTACCTTTGTAAGCTATATTTAAGGATTTGTGCAATGTCACTCTCTTCCCCTGTTCTAGTGCACAAGGATATTGTTTTCCTTGCATAAATTGGAATATTCCCATGCAGTTACGTTTTTTAAAAGAAGTGTTTTCCAGTAGAACACCACTGTTGTCCAAAATTAAATTCCCAACAGACTACAGTCACAAGGACTTCCATCTTCTTCTCTTTATAATACAAATTCTTGGCATTTTGCTATTCCAGGACCTGATAATAGTGAGGTTTGGCACCTTTTATTCTATTACTTTTAATTTAACCTCAGGCAGAACTTCCACTGGAATCACTGAAGAACTGGCTCTTCAAGGAGGACATGGTGGTTAGAAAATTGCTTACCTTTATTGTCCAAATTTTCAACCAAAACTATTTCAGTACTACTCCCAGAGAAGTAATCTTAACTAAATAGATATCATTCTTCTGATTCATGTTGCTGAGTCCATCATAGAAAAATCTCACACTGACTCTGAGAGGGTTAACAGATCATTTGTGAGCAGCCAGGTCTTGTTCTCCAGTATGAGCATGTCTTCCAAGGGACAGGCGCATACAACCAGTGCCACAGAAAGAATGCTTAGACCCCCACTGCAAGTGGGGATGCTTGGCTGATAAAGGCTATAAGTGAAATGTCAGCTCTCTCTGTTTTGCCTGTAGGTTTAAAGGGAACTTTAGCAAGGAAAATGCTGCTTTCAGTTATGAAGACCCAAGTTATTGTTAAGTTGGCAGAATCAGGACTGTGTCTAAATGAGCAGTTTGGAGAACAGTGTGGTGCCGCTCTTGAGGAATGCAAATAGAAAGATGACTGTTCCTCAGAGTAAAAGAAACAGACACAGGGGCAGCATGTGAGTTATCATTGAAATAGTGGTGTAATTACCTGAATAGAATATTAAGTAAATAGAACTAGTATTAAGCTAAAACCTCCTCTTGAAGAGAGAAGTGTTGTGAAGAGAGCAAGTGTTGTGGAATACGAGTTAATACTGTTACGTACTGCCAAACATAAGTGTTTAATTTAAGCCAGCTGGGATAGCATGTGACGTGTGTTAGCTGTATAAGGAGGAAAGTATCAAGACACAAACATCCGTCTGGAGTTTGTTGCTTAGCCTTTCTCAGGAGGTTGGGCTGTTCCTTCAGGAGCTGGGTCCTGCCTCTCAGCTAGAATCACATTCCAGTTTTGGGAACTAGGCAAGCAATAGGCATCAGGTCTAATTGCAAAAGTCAACTCATCACTGTGGGAACAAGAAAGGAAGAGAAGCATGTGAGAGGGGAAACAAGGATGGACCCCTTACATCTATGTTCATTTATGAATGTCGTAGCCAGAAGGAAAGTTAATACAAGCACAGCTGGATTAAAAAAAACACCAAAATTTGTGTTTCTCCAGCCAGTAACATTCATTTTCCATTCTTCTGGTAGCAAAGTTATTTGCACTGTGGTACTCGAAGGCATTCAGACTTTATTGCATCAGGGCTGATGTGTAGTTGAGTGGACCAACCATGCGTTGATGGAGGAGCTTTGGCTGGTAAATTTGCAGACGACACCAAGTTGGCTGGAAGTGTTGATCTGCTGGAGGATAGGAAGGTTCTGCAGAGGGATCTGGAGAGGCTGGATTGAATGGCTGTGGCCAATTGTATGAGGTTCAACAAGGCAAAGTGCTGGGTCCTGCACAGGGGTCACAACAACCCCATGCAACTCTACAGGCCTGGGGAAGAGTGGCTGGAAAGCTGCTCAAAGGAAAAAGACCTGGGGATGCTGATGGATAGCTGAACGTGAGAGCCAGGTTGTGGAGTCATTGTCCCTGGAAACGTTCAGATACTGTGTAGATGAGGCCCTTAGTGACACAGTTTAGTGGTGGACTTGGCAGTCCTGGGGTAACCATTGGACTTGATCTTAAAGGTCTTTTCCAGCCTAGTTGATTCTATGATTCTGTCAGGGAATAAAAGAGGCCTGAGCTAGGCACCAGGGTAGGGAGGTCTCTGCTCCTTATCTTTGGATCCTTTAGCACCATCACACAGGTAACACATCAGAACTGAATGAACTATTTGTGCACTAGTGTTAGCAGTCATTGATAACTGCTTATGTGATACAACTTTGCCAAAGCACTGGTTGTTCTCCTTTACTTCCTTCTGTACAAGCTGAAGTCTTGCTTGTATACTTCTTGTGACTCTAGTGACTCTGCCATACAGGTTTTTTCTTGCTTTAACAGTGTTAAGGCCCAGAACTAATTTAAAGGACCAATGCACCACATTGATTACCTTGAATGTGCAAGCAAATACTCACGCATGTCCGACCTTAAAGACCATTAAGCACTCAGTGTTGGAAAGGTGGCCATAACAAAAACATGCTAAAGCAATGGGGAGCATCTCTTAGGTAACCAAGGAGTACTGTTGGGAAGTTTGTTTGCAATGAGTGTAGATGTCTTACTGATTCATCCATTGCTGCATTTGACAGTAATGGACCAGGTGTCAAGTTTAAGGTTGATTCCCTGTGTTCATCTCCCTTGAAACATATTTTCTTCATACTTCCATGATTTCAGTATTTTATTTATCTGCACCATAAGAGCATATAATAGTCACTTCTTTTCCATGGCAACACTTGTTTCCAGAATTTGCCATCTGGTGTTTCATGTTTTTCTCTCTCTCTCCTTTTTTTTTTTCCCCACTTTTCTTTTTCCCATTTTTTTCTTTTTTTTTTTTTTCCCTGCATCCATTTTGATTTCAGCATCAGAATGACATTTTCTTTATTGCTCATCAGAAATTTCTGTAGGTCTGTAGTCTAAGCCCTTTTCATATATATATCTAATTAAGCTGGATATATTCCTCTTTAGAAGGAGAGATGCTGCTTTATGAGAAGTATTAATGGACTACAATATTCTTGCAATTTTTGGTAGTGTTGTATTTATTTATAAGGTATAATTTAAATTTTTTTTTAGTGACTAAAAATTTAAAACATCTACTCTTTAGACAATGTAAATCATATAAGCCATATGTACATTTACAAGATAAGCAGCCAAAACCTTCTTGTATACAGCTTAGCTGTCTTTGCTTATTTTTCTCTGTAGAAAAAGGTAGAAAATGCAAAAGGTTATGTCATACACATAAAAAAGGGCATGCAAGTAACTGATAAAACAGTGCTCTTCTGGTCCTCTTGATCTTCCTCTGAAGTTCCTTCCTACTGCCTTTTTACAACTATTTGATGTTTCCTTTACATGATTTTTTAATTGCTGCCTCATAATATAACTGCTGTCTTGAAGGTGATACAGGCCCTCAGTGTGGGAATCTTCACAGGAGCAGAAGGATACCAGTAGCAGCAAGAGTACTCCCTTGAACTTAGAGGAACTAGCTTTTACACCAAGGGAGTTAGAAGTCCATGAGTTATCTTCTGGCAGAAACTGTGGTTAGGCAAGAATTCCTGAAAGCCCAGGATAGACAGTCTTTCACAGGAGTAGGCGTCAGGGTCCTCTATCTGCTCTGTGAAGTGTTGTGGGTGTCCAGATCCCACCTGGAGCCTGTGGTGGGCATTGCAGTTCCTAGACTCCCCAGTCTTTCTTGGAGAGGTGTGCCTGTTATTGCCAGACCAGAGAATTAAACAGTTGAGGATTCATCTGCCAAGCATCATGTTGCAGATTAAAATACCATGCAATTTAAAAATAAAGTGTGCTAAAATCTTGACTTGGCAACAGAAACTCAGCAGCAGTAGCTTCAGTGTCCTCCAAGAGTCAAATGGGGCTGAGTTAGGCTCCAGATTGTAGTTTTTTTTTTTTAAATAAATGAAGATCTCAGTCATGCTTGAAATCTGTCCTGGAAAATGAACAGACTCACTTTTTTCCCCTCACTTTTCTCTTCCCAGGCACTTCAGAAATAAAATTAAAAAAAAAACAAAACAAAAAGCAAACCCAAGCAAACAAAAAAACAACATTAATGACATGAGCAGAAAATTAGAAAATAGTTAGCTCAGTGCTAGTCAGTCCTAGGTAAAACAATTAATTTGACCCTTCTGGTGATGAATGCTGTAATTGCATTGTGGTAAGGCTGCCACACACCTCTACAACGAATGACCACACCGCTAGCATAGTGCTATGTTGCAGGAACACCAGTGGACACTGAAGTTCTTACTTGGGAATTATTGCTTAAGTCTCATCACTTGAAAATGAATGAATTGTTTCCTTACAAGTTACGAAGTGGGTGCAGTTATTCACTGTATTGTGAGTAAGCCTTTCAAAATCATAGTTAGGCAGAACAGTTATGTCAGTGCAAAACTATAACCTTTGTGAGTGTGCAAAATCTGGTTTAAGATGTGATTCACTTTGCCTTCATGTAAAGCTGAGGAGGGATACAGGTTTAAAGTATCTAACTATGTTTTCTTTCTTCTAGATTGTGTTTTTGGAGCAAACTGATCAGCAACAGCAACTGGCTAGGAAGTGGGGGTTCAAAATCTCTGACATAAGAGAACTGAGTAACCAGTATGTATTTTGTTTAGATTAATTTCAGCTAATGGAGTTTAGTCTCAGTGAAGTAATGCAAGTCTCTGTGAATACATTTTAGCAGAGAGCACATTATGTCCAATCTCATGGGCAAAACTCCCTTTCAGCTCTGTGATAACTCTTAACCCAAGAGCTGCCTCCATCCTGGATGGGACTTGGAGGGTGGATGGTCCGTGGGTTGGTTGTGTTCCTTGGTTTGTCACTGCAGCCATGGCTGAATTGTACTGGCTGATTTACACTGCGTGGGACAAAATGTCATATGTAGCTGTCATACACACCTCTTCTGTGCTTACACAAGTAAATGATGTTCTTTCTTGAAATTACATTTTATATCCATTTTGTTAGCAACATGCTGTGCCTAACTAGCTCAAAATTCTAGACTTGGCAAATACAGGTGCCACTGACACTACAGATGTAAGGCACTTGCTTGGGCTTTGGCACAGTTGCTTACAAATTCTAATAAAAGTAGACTATTTAAACTTTCTGAACACAGAGACTTGGATTTCAAACTGTATTGCAGCTTGAATGTTTCTTTTTTCCTCAGCCAGTGTAATCCCCCACCTTTCTGGTGAAGTGAAATAGTTTTGGATTGTACCTGCAATGCTTTGCATGTAGCAGCTGTAAACTATACAAGTGTAAACCACTTGTGGCTTAGAGTTTAGAACTGCAGCACTGTTTTAGTGTTCAGTTGTTAAAAAACCTGTATGCTTTGTTGGAAGGCCAATCATACAGTATATGTGAGTCATCAGATGTTTTCTTCACTTGAAATAGCCTGAGGAAAATGGATGGTGCTGGGAATATGGATCAGTTGTGAAATGTCTTTCAGCATTTCTAGCACGCAGGAAAACAGGAAGAAGGGAAAGTACAAAGAGGCTAAATCACTGTTCATTCAGTAGCCAGGGAGAAGGGCAGAAGAATGTGAAAAATTTTATACTGTATGAAATTCCATCAGATGTTGATATATTCATCCCTGTTACTGCATGAACACTACATGACAATAAACAATATTACAGTTCCATTGTAAAGATGCCTTTCCTGTCCAGGTATTCAGTAGAGATCTTTTTCATGGGTATCTGTGTCTGCATTTGTAGACACGGTCCTGTTCTTCCATTAAGCTTTGAAATTCCAAGATTGAATATACACAGAGAGACATATTTAGAGGAAAACTGAGATATAGAAAGTTACCGTTCTGTAAATATAATGTTCTTGCAGCTAAAGGTATTCCAAATATAGCCATACTAGCAAGAAAGACTGTGCCCAAATCCTCTCTTTATCAGGTGGGTTCTAAGCTTGAATCATTTTAGTTATTATGAAGTCAGTTTGGTTTTATTTATTGGTATTTACTGTTATTAAAGATAATTGGATTCATCATGGTCTTACATTGTTTTCCCTGTTAGCTGTAGTAGGTCTGTATAAAAGTTATTCGTCAGCTGCTTTATACCATAAAAGGAGTATGGATAGAGGTGCAGTAGTGATTGATAGGCTGATGCTGAAAGTGAAAGGCTGATCTGTACTTGCCATTCACTCTGGTGGATTTTCCTCAAACACTGTTTAAAGCAAAACTACTTTCTGTGGAAAATTTATTAACATTTTTGTTTTCTTTCCCTAGTGAATTCTTCATGCCAGGAATGGTTGATACACACATTCATGCTCCCCAGTATTCATTTGCTGGTACAAGAGTAGATCTACCTCTTTTGCAATGGTTGACTACCTACACATTCCCAACAGAAGCCAAATACAAAGACAGTGACTTTGCAGAAGAAGTGTACACCAGAGTTGTTGTAAGTACTGCAAATATAATTTACTGACTTGATGATATTCATATTTGTGAAATACATGTAAGTTTTCAGAAGGTCACTTGAAGTAGTAGAGCATGTTTTAATGTAATGAAAACTAGATAAAACCAACAGTACAGCTACTGTTCTAATGCCAGCCAAGATTGTCTCCTACTAGTTCCAGTCTTGTTCTGTTGTTGCTGGTAAAACAGTTCATTTAATCCCATGGTTGACAATAAATTTATATATCAACTTTTCTGATATCTGAGTGCAACGACCAACATTTAAGAATACTCTATAGCCAGCAGGTGTAGAAATAACAAAGCATATTAAAAAAAAAAAACAAACACCTAAATTTGGAGGATATTTCCTTTTCTGCAAAGGCCACATGAAAGAGAAGATGCTTCTCACAGCCAACAAATCTAGGGTGCTTTGAAGTAATTAAGGAAGATGTTTCTACATTTGAGGCCCTTGTAGCAGGATTGTCACTACAGAGGCTTTAGATGAAGTCTGTCAATGGTATTGTGGCACAAAGAGAGAGACTGTGTTTGAACTAGGCTGGTTTTGAGCAATATAAAGGCTTTAAGGTCAAATTCCACTTGATGAACAATAAGCAGGTATACTGATTCTGCAGCATACTGATTCTGTGCTTAAAGGAAATGTATCCTTTAATATGTGGATGAAATATCTTCAACAGATTAAATGATTTGGCCAGCATAATTTCCCTTGCATTTGTCTAAAACTCTTAGAAATAGGACTAAACCTGCAAAGAGCAGATATTGTTTCATATATATCTTTGTACTTTTGGAGTTGTAATAAAAAACTAGTGATTTTTTCAAATCAAAATTCTGTTTTCAATAAAGACTTTCTACAATTTGTCAAAGAAACAAAGTAGGTGACATTTATCATATTATGCCTGGAACCTCCTGTGGTCCACTTCTAGGTAAGGAAATTCTTCAAGCTGATGACTTGGAAACAGCATGTTTTTAGGTTTAATTTAACAATGATATTAGGAATCCAGAAGTAGAGAATCATGGGGTTGAAAAACTAAGAAAGACCAAAGTAGTTTGCCTCATTAATGACATTGTTATTTTTGAGACTCATTTTAGAAGCCCTTAAAAACATATTTTTAACTATTTGCTTTAATTCGAATATTGTAAAAAAAAGAGAGCTTGCCTTCATGTTTGTAAAAAAATTAGCTCTAACCATTCTCAAAAGTTGTGTTGAATGTCCCACCTTCTATCTCATTTAAAAATTTTAAAGATTTCTCAAATTACATTGTAGCCAGAATCCAAAAATTTGTTTAAACCTGTAAGACAGATGGGTAATCAATAGAGTATGTATTAGTCTTAAGTCTAGGCAAGTGATGCTATAGATTTCGTCGTGACTTAATGTACCTTTATATGGCTCTTCATTTACTGTTTATGTGCTCCCAAAGTAGTATGAGCAGGTGTCAACCAGCCTCTCCTTTCAAATGATATAATTCAGTAATTGAATTACACTCTGAGCATTTATTCTCAGTTTACTTTTACCTTGAAGTTTATTCCTTTGTATTCAGGCATAACAAAGGGGTGTTATACATGAAAGTATGGCTATTTTTACCAGCCACATCCGGTGACCAAATGAAAACCACTTATTTTTCCCCAGAAGCCTTGCTTTGCTAGCATTAGGTAAACAGTGCTTCACTGTGAAAATTGGAAAGCCTTTCAAAACCAGAAAAAAACATAAAAGACTGGTTGTATTTCTAAATATAAATCAGAATTTATTTCCAGTTTGACTGAAGGAAATATAGCATGGTTTTTATGGGTTTAGCCATTGTGGAAGTCCTGTATAAATTTAGAAGAGGAGTTTTTGTATTTATGAACACTCAGACTTAAAAAAAGCTATTGTGAAATTAAAAATCTATATTTTACTTTCTCAATTCACTGCACAATTTCAAAATAACTTAATGTTCTTGCAGTTTGAAATCAGGCTGCCTGTTCTGCATTTTGGCAGCTTGACTATCTTTATTTCCAGACAGTTGAAACAGTTGATTTCTTTTTATAGAGACGAACTCTAAAGAATGGCACGACTACAGCTTGCTACTTTGCGACAATTTATACAGATACTTCTCTTCTTCTTGCTGAAATTATTGGTAAGGCTAACAGTGAGTTTTGAAGGGTATTATTCAGACTGTATTAGTTGAAGGAAACAGAGCTTATGAGTTTTATACTTGCTAGCAATCTCTCGTTCTACTAATGATGTTTTTTTGTTCATTTTATCTGTCATAGAATCATAGACTCATTGAATGGTTAGGGTTGGAAAGGACCTTAAGATCATCTAGTTCCAAACCCCAATCCATGGGCAGGGACAGCACATACTAAGTGATGTTGCCCAAGTTTCTGTTCAACTTGGCCTTGAACACTGCCAGGGATGGAGCATTTACCACTTCTTTGGGTAACCTGTTCCACTGCATCACCACCCTGACAGTAAAGAACTTCTTCCCTATATCCAACCTGAACTTACCCTGCTTCAGTTTAAACCCATTACCCCTTATCCTATCACTACAGTCCCTAACAAAGAGTCCCTCCCCAGCATCCCTATAGGCCCCTTCAGATACTGGAAGGCTCCTCTGAGGTCTCCACGCAGCCTTCTCTTCTCCAGGCTAAACAGCCCCAACTGGAGGTGCTCCAGTCCCCTGATCATCCTCGTGGCCCTCCTCTGGACTTGATCCAACAGTTCCATGTCCTTTTCATGTTAAGAGCGCCAGAATTGTACACAATACTGCAAGTGAGGTCTCACAAGAGCAGAGTAGAGGGGCAGGATCACCTCCTTTGACCTGCTGGTCACGCTCCTTTTGGTGCAGCCCAGGATATGGTTGGCTTTCTGGGCTGCGAGAGCACACACTGAAGCCGGCTCATGTTCAGTTTCTCATTGACCAACACCCCCAAGTCCTTCTCTGCAGGGCTGCTCTGAATCTCTTCTCTGCCCAACCTGTAGCTGTGCCTGGGATTGCTCCAAACCAGGTGTAGGACCTTGCACTTGGCATGGTTAAACTTCATGAGGTTGGCATCAGCCCACCTCACAAGTGTGTCAAGGTCCCTCTGGATGGCATTCCTTCCCTCCAGCATATCAACCAAACCACACAGCTTGGTGTCATCGGCAAACTTGCTGAGGGCGCACTCAGTCCCACTGTCCATGTCAACAATAAAGGTGTAACAAAATCAGTCTCAACACCGACCCCTGAGGGAGACCACTCATTACTGGTCTCCAGTTGGACACTGAGCCTTTGACTACAACTCTTTGTGTGCAGCCATCCATCCAGTTCTTTATCCATTGGGTGGTCCGTCCATCGAATTTGTACCTCTTGTGTCTCTTCACTTCCAAATCAGCTGCTGGCAGAGCTTAAGTTTGCTGGAGTTGCTCTTCAGCTCATTTTCTGCTTTTTTTAGCCTTTTGCTATTTGAGGATTAAAGGACTGAATGACAAGAGGTGCAGACAGTGCGTTTATTTCCTGATAATCTGAAGTTTCCAAACACCCTCAGAAACCATAACAATGGGAGTTGCATCAGGATCTTACCCCTCCCTTCTTGTTCACCAGTGCAATTACCTTCTGTTTGAAAGTGTTGTGATTCTTGCAGGATTTCTCAAGGCTCAGCCAACTCCCATAGCAGAGCAATTTAATGAATATTTCAGTGTCCACCAAAGATTCCCTTTCTGATTTTGTATGAAAACCTGAAACTTTAAAGCTGTTGTATTCAACAACTCAGACAGTAAAAGTGGGCAAAAGAGATCTAGTTTACAAGTACATTTAAAAGCTTAGATTTGAACATTATATGCATTCCTTTTAAGTCTTACGCATGAGTTCCTGGTCTTAGTATGGATAAATCTCAAGAAAGGATGCTAGAAGTAGTGGTGGTAATTTTCTCCATCCAACTGCATGTAGGAGGCATGTTAGGAGCCTCATTCCTTTCTCTGAAGAAGAAATGGTTTCCTGAGGTCTTTGTGCCTTCTGTCAGCTCAGGGTAACGTTCTACTACAGCTACTGTACTTCGGTGTTTGTGTTTCTCATCCTCTACTTCAGAGTTGTCTTTATGTACAACCATTATAAATTCTGGTTGTGGTTAAACTACAGTAATCTTATCCTCAATTAGAACATTTAAAAAATTGAGTACTAGTGTGGAAGAAGAATATTTTTTTTTCCCCTCTCTTTCCTTTTTAGCCTTAAGAGTCACAGGGATGGTCCCAACTTAAAGATAAGAAAAGATCAATTGTGTTCATCTAAAATGAAACTTGCTGGGGTGGCATTTGCTATTTTGATTTCAGTACAGGCTTTGATAGCAGTTTTTCAGAACAAATGAATCTGAATTTTTTTTCTTTTATGGATCTCACCAGATAAATTTGGTCAACGAGCATTTGTTGGAAAAGTCTGCATGGATATGAATGACAGTGTGCCACAATACAAAGAGACTACTGAAGACTCTGTCCAAGAGACAGAAAGGTGAGGTGATTAAATTGATGGATTTAGAAATAAGACTTTTCTTATCCATCTGAAAGTGAATGTGAATCTGACTGAAGAACTTACAGGTGTGAATTTATTAGGAACATTTCTTTTTCCTTCTGATGGCATTGCTTCCTACAGTTCTGGCAATTTCTGCGGTTGCCACGCAGCCCAAGCAGTTTCTCCGTAGCTCTTCCAAAGAAAGGGAAAAGCTGCAGCTCTGGGGTTTGCAAAGAATATGTGTAGGTGGTTGTCTGTTTTCTGCCTTCTTTTTTCCCTTCACAGCTCTGTTCGTGGAGGTGATGTGACCTGATATGCGATGGTGGGGTGGCAATCAGTTCCTTCACTCCCGTTAACTTCTGAGCTACTTCCTTCCCCCATTTAGGATAAGTTTTATTCAGATTGTAGGAGCCAGCTTTCATGTACCCCATTTCAAACATGCTGTGGCTCTTATCTTCTACAGCATAGCATCAGTGAAATTACTCTAACTTGCAGCTGAGAGAATGAAAGATAATGAAATCAATGCAATGTACATGGCGAAGGGGATCCAAGACTGGAGAATGGCAGCCTGCTATCTTAGGTTACCCTTATGTTTCACATCCATGCTCAGAAAATGCTTAAGCAGGCATACAGCATTTCTCATGGGACTATTTCTTAACTTGTATAAGTGTTTCAAGTATCATGTTGAAAGAGAATGATATTTGAAACAGTAATAACAGTAATATAAAGGTCTTGCTACACTTACGTGAAGTTGCTACCTTACTTTTGCAAATCATGCTAGAAGAATGCAAGTAAAAGTTAGAAATGGTAATGGATTTCTAGCAGTGTTTATGTTTAAAGACATTTTAAAACATGTAGTATTAATAATTTGCACTCTACTATATGCATTATATGTTGGTAATAGTTGTAGTCATCTGGAAAGAAGATGACCTATGTTCAAATCTGTTCTACTGCTACAGAAGACAGTGGTTTGAATCTGAGCTTCTTTCCTTATAATGAAGTATATAAGCCAAAAAAGCATCGGGTATTTTAAGAAAGGTATTTCAGTTTTGAAACAATGCTGACACTTTTCAGAGAATGTAGAGAAGAATGAAAACAGCCGTCTGTTTCAGGAGATTTTGGATTATCGTCTGAGAGTTGTACTTTGTGTTACAGTTTCTGCTCCAGTCAATCTTTTAGTATTGTATCAGGTGAATCAATGAGAGGAGAGACAGACAGATGATATCTAATACACATTATGTTTTGGCTCTGACAGTCAGATGGTGGGCTCAAATTTTTTCAGTCACTGTGGAGGTTGAGCTTAGGTTTCTCACTTCTAGCTGCTGATCTAGCACCACATTCAGGGTTGTGAATCTAGCCTCCAGCATTTTCTTTTTCATCAGAAGATATCTGACAAATTTGATTCAGCATTTATTGTGAACAAAATTACAGGTTTTTCTAAATATAACTATGCCATAAGAATTCACAGAGATCCTCTCCACAAACCATCTCAAACAGGCTTCTGGAAATTATTTGCATACACTGTGCATATGGATGTTCAAAGAATTTCTTCCCTGCAAAGTCAGAGGAAGTTTTATTTGCTCATCTGCATTATCTGTATTGACTGCTTGGGGTTTTTACATGGAGGTCCCTGAGGAAGCTTCTTTTATTTAACAAAGTAAGTAAATCTATACTGTATTTTCTATAAGGTAGATACCTATATGCTAACATTGTTATAAGCATTTCCAGAAAAGCAAGGGTCCTGTAAGTGAATGAGGACATACGCAACTGCTGTAAGTGAGCATAAGATATTGCAGCATCTTTTAGAAACAGGATTTTAAATAATAGATTATGCTTAATGCTGTAATTTAGGTTCATGGACATTTTATTTTTTTTTCCTCTAATGTTGCATCTGTAGCTTATAATTATGTTTTCAGTGAATTTAATGTAACATGTATCTGGTTTTCAGTGACAACTCAGAGCAATTACCACATGTCTAATGCTAATTACGGCAAATGAAAAAGATTCTGAATATTTAGGGTCAAATTCACAACTAGCATAATTTGGTGTAACTATTGTGACTTCACTGTATTGCTTCTTTTTATTTCATCTGAGAATTTGGCCCAACTTTCTGTAAAAAATGTCTGAAATACTTAAGGTATCTAAGTAGATATTGTCACAATTTATAGCACAGGTAATAGGTTTCTAACAGATTTTTTTTCTGCCTTTTTCCAGGTTTGTTAAAGAACTCCTGGAAAAGAAAGTAAGTAGAGTTCTTTATTCACTTCAGTATTCAGGAAATTCCATGTAAATATATGAAATAGTTAATCCCTTTGACAAACACTGCTGACTTAGTGACAAGTCAATAAATATACATCTTTTTGTGTAGTAGAGAGATGTCATCGGTCTGAAAAATGTTCTGCTTGCCATGTTGTTGAGAAATGGACTTGTAGCTGTGTAAATTTGGTGGTGAGAGCACAGCAATGTTCTGTGCTTCAACTTTAAAATATATTCGGCTTCCTAGAAAGGAAACTTTTCTGGTGAAAGCCACAGTCTCTCACTCTGTGGTATATAAATAGACAGAAGTTCTCACCAGCAGAAATCAGTGTGTTTACAGTACAGTTGCTAACCCATTACCAAATTAGTATCTTGGGTCAGCACATGTCTTCCAATGTGTTTCTAAAGAAACTCAGGTTTACACTCCTTGGGTGTAAACACAGAATTGACACTCCATACATATTACAATCAGGGATACCTTTTGTATCAGCCTTTCTTTTTTCAATGGCTTAATTTCTTGATTTTTTTGTCTCAAAATATTCAAGAGCATAGAGTTTCATGTCTAAATCATATGTTGGCTAAATTGGCTAATCTGGAGAAGTCTTGAGCTCCTTATATCAGGAAGATGGTATAAGAAACCGCAAACCAAGTTACCATGTACTGCCTTTTAATGGTGCCACATGCACAACTATTTCCTGTGACTGAAGGCAGATTTGTAATGCTGTTGTCTGTTTTTTATGAAAATTTTAATCCATAAGTGGAAGGTGTAAGGTAAACATCTGTAGCTCTAGTCTTGGTGTCTTCTTCTCTACTGCATAACATATCTGTTGCTAGCACTAATCTTCCTGTGTAGGAAGTGTAGGGACAGTTTGTTGCTATAATGATTGGAGAAGATCAAGCAAGAACTCTTCAGTTTTAAATCACTGGGTCTTTGATACTCACAGAAGTGGGACTCAGAAAAACGTGGTCATTCATTGCTTTGATTCTCTATTTCAATGGTGAAATTTCTAATAAAAATAAGTAAATGACTTTACAGTGTGAATTGGCAAGGATGCAGCAAGCAATAAGAGATGGAGCAAAATATAGTTGCTGTGTAAATGCTTGTATACTCATATATAGAGGTAGAATGCCTAATATGTCTTTTTAATATTTTCAGTATCCAAGGGTACAGCCTGTAATAACTCCCCGCTTTGGCCCTTCCTGCACAGAGGATTTGCTTTGTGCGCTTGGCGATTTAGCACAGGCTCGTGACCTCCATGTGCAGGTAACCTGCAAGAGCTCTGTATCCAATTTAAATAGTTTAGATAGATAGCATATGGATCAAGGAGTTTTCATAATGCCAGGAAAATACTTAAATCATATTCGTACCTTGGGGTCTGTTTTTTACATTCCTCTGAATTTATTAATGGTACTCTACAAGAACGCTGTGACCTGCACAGGAAATGAGAAAGCTCATAGGTAGGAGGATGCACAATTCAGCAAGCCCCGGCACATGGTCACTAGAAGACCATCATCTGGTACTGCAGGTTAGAACAACCCGTGGGTTTGCTAAATGTTGCTCTCCCCTAGTCCAAGATTGCCACATCTGTCTCTGCCTCCTGCTGCTTCTGCACATTTCATAGAATCATAGAATCATAGAATAGTTAGGGTTGGAAAGGACCTTAAGATCATCTAGTTCCAACCCCCCTGCCGTGGGCAGGGACACCTTACGCTAAATCATATCACCCAAGGCCTCGTCCAACCTGGTCTTGAACACTGCCAGGGATGGAGCATTCACAACCTCCCTCAGCAACCCATTCCAGTGCCTCACCACCCGAACAGGAAAGAATTTCCTTATATCCAATCTAATCTTCCCCTGTTTAAGTTTTAACCCATTACCCCTTGTCCTATCACTACAGTCTCTAATGAAGAGTCCCTCTCCAGCATCCGTATAGGCCCCCTTCAGATACTGAAAGGCTGCTATAATTTCAGTAGATAAGAGAATTACTCATCTTCATATCTTATTTAACATTGTTAACATTGCTGTAGGATTTTCTGTATGATGAAGTTCCTCTGTCTAATAAAGACAAATTCAGAGGTGTTCAGGTCTGTTGAAACTTCGAGATGTTTCTTTTTTGATTACACAGTTCTAAGCATATACTGTTTTAAACCTATCCTACATTAGGATTTTTGTCATTACAAAGTGGGAATTTTGAAAATATATGCTCCAGTGGGAGTACAGAAGGATCAGATTTTTATTTCATCAGACCAGGAATTAATCAGCCTATCTGAAGATCCATGGAGCAGCTACCTATATGTTGCCTTGATCCGAGGGTGCACTGTGTGATAGGCTGGTTTTCTCTTTTACCTCATAGTTATCTGTATTATTTTATTTATTATGTTGAAATTTGCCAAATACAAGTGGGCCATCGTGTCACCAAACTGCTGTGATGGACAATCAAGGCATACCATCTCATTTCACTTTTAAAGAAACAAATGGAGGTTCTCCTCTGGGTCCCAAAGACATCTCCGATAAAAAAAAACAAAAAAACCAAGGACTAGATCTAACTGTAGGCTTTACAAATACTACTTTCTCTTGTTATATGTTTAGCACAGTAGGTTGCTCAGAAGGTTGTAATGCCAGGTTTAATGCTATTTGAAGCACTCATTCCTATCTATTTTCTTATTGCAGAGTCACATAAGTGAAAATGAAGAAGAACTCAAACTTGTGGAGAACATGTTTCCTGCCTACCAGAATTACACTGAATTATATGATAAAAACAAGCTGCTTACCAGCAAGGTAGCTGCATAAAAACTTCCACAGCATAGCTTAGATTTATGTAGACAATATGATGGTTAACTGAAAAGGTTAATAGGTACCTGAAAAGTTTCTATTGTTTTTTCAAGGTCAGTAACGTCTGGTCTTGTGGAAGGTGTCCCTGACATGGCAGAGGGATTGGAACTAAATGAGTGTCAAGGTCCATTTCAACCCAAACTATTCTGTGATTCTATTGTCTAGGTTAAAGTAAATCAGTTTTTATGTTCTTTGTTGCACAGATGTTGTTGCAAAGTTATTGGAACTTTAGACAAGCTCACACTTTTCCTAATCATTTTAGGGTAGATGAACAATAAAGGTACTTTATGCTTCCTGATCCATTTTCCAAGGATTCCAAATAAATTGGGACAGTGGGGTTAGAAGAAAACTAGGTAAAGTTGGTATTGTAGGAGCTGCGATTCTCGGGCAGTACCCTGTTGTCCTTATATTACAATATTCTTGCACACTGAAATATTTGTTCTATGGTGTATTGGTAGGACCACCTTAATTTTTTGGCAGTTTCCTACAGAAAAGCAGCTCTTTGTGTTCTGTGTGTGAACCTCACACACAGACAGGTACACTTTACTGTTCTGACTTCGGAAGTGCTCTTGTTGGCTGATTTTACCAAGTGTTGAGAGGCACAGTGGCCTGGAGAGTTGAAACTCATTAAATCTTTATGTTGGTGAAATAAATGAAAACAGATCTGATACCAGCCCCCACTTAAGTACAGGTTGGATTGCCAGGCATTTATTGGTGCTTATCAGAAGGTGGACAGCCCATGCAAGAGTGAGTATGAACAGCTTAACTATAGCCAGAGTGCCAAAACATCAGTCAAATTGATTTAAAATTTTAGGAAAGAATTTTCAGAGGCACAAAGGGCAGCTTGGAACTCCTTGACAATTAGCTATTGAACTCTCATTTCTTTCTTTGAAATTGTACCCTAGTAAGTTACTTATTTACAGTCCTTTTCATCTGAGAATTCAGTATGGACTACTTTAATATGTATACAGTATTAGCTTTTGATCTCTCATGCAGTCCTATGCTTGCTGATTTGTTGCGTCAGTATCCTAAAGAGAATATTAGCTCTGCAAAACCAGGCCGTAATTCTGTCAGACTTTTATATGCGTGACCCTGAAAAGTCACTGAAAATTAGGGTTACCAGTTCTTTCAGGCATTCGATTAACACAAGCATAATAACAAAACTGCAGATGTTTCCTCCTCCCCAACCACCAAAACTAAGGCAACAATATTTTTTGTTGTTGTTTTTGTTTTGAAAGTATGATTTTCAGAGCTGTGGTGAAGTATTTCCTTCTTTTTGAAAAAGAGTACAGATCAGCAGAGATACAGGTCAGCAGCTAATATGTATGTCCTTAAGATGTGGCTATTCTCATCGCATTTTCAATTACACTTGAGCTTGATAAGTAGGGAGATAGGTAAGTAGGGAGATAGCTAGAGTGCTATTAGGAGATGCTCAGTGGAAAGAGGCCCTGTACTGTTCTCATTGCTATTGGCAGATTGCAAGGCCTAACAGAGCTCTTTCTTTTCGAGTAGGCATTTGGCATATGAGGTAATTCCAATTAGATTTGTCTAGAAATAATTGGTTTATGTCCTATTAAATGATACTATCCTATACTTTCATCTTTTGTATATACTGCTTGTGATCTTATTTTTAAAGTGAGTTATGCAGGCCAAGAAAGAAAAGCCATTAACCAGTTGCATAAAAAAATAGATTCTTTTAATTAAAGAATATTCCATATATATATATATATATATATATATATATATATATGTGTGTGTGTGTGTGTGTATATATTCCATTAATATTCCATGTATATGTATGCCTGGTGCAAACCTTTGGAGAGACAATGGGAAACATGTAAGAGTACGTACATCTTCCATTCTCTCTGATATGTTCCTAGCCCCAGTACTTAAAATCTGTGTTAGCTACAAAATATAAATTGTTAGATTACTGCAGCATTAGGCCAACTGGGGAATTCTTGCTTTAGTTCCTGGAAGCTTTTAGGTCAAAGCAGTCACTGCAAGAGTCAGCACCCTATCTTCTTAGGTTAATAAATGAAAAAAAAGCTGAGAGAGTGAATATGTCAGGCATACTGAAGTTAATAAGAGCTTCTCCCCTTTCAAGAGCTTTATTCGAGCAATGCATTAATTTCCCTTGGTGGTAACAGGCGTCCTTTTGGCTATTAAAGGCGATGCAGCAAAAATCACAGGCTCTGAAATAAATGCAATATTGAGTAAATTGGTGATTCTGTTTTTCTTTAGACAGTGATGGCTCATGCCTGTTATCTTTCTGAAGAAGAGCTGAAACTTTTTAGTCTTCGTGGAGCTGCAATTTCACATTGTCCCAATTCTAATTTTTCGTAAGTTAAAAGACTTGTACAATTAAATCAAGCTGTTGATCACATAGTACCCTGAGTTCAGCCTACTATTATACAACTACTACATATTCTCTCTCTCTCTATATATATATATCTATACTATTTTGTTCCACCCAAAGTGACATATTGGATTGAGCATGACCATTCATGCTCCACTTCTGCATGGACCTGGACTGACTTGCGATCTTTCAACATAGTCATATACATATCTATCTCTCTCTATATAAATAAATATTCATTTCTTTAACCTTCATTTCTTCTGACTGTTCTATCAATTGAAAATTCAGGCCATCTCCCTTCCAAAGTATGCATAGGTTTTGGTAAAATGGGAATGTGCTATATAGTCTTTTTTCTATTAAGCAGAAATGAGATACTGTGTGGTATCCAGTCAGGATACTGTACTAAATGTTAACAGTAATTTTACTTTTAACATAATATTTTGTTTGTGTTGACTTACTGAAGCTCATGACATGTCTTCCCATCTCCTGGAATATATTTTACACCATATTTGGGCTTTTTCACAGGTATACTGAAAGTTTGTTTTCAGCAAGTAACTATAAAACTGGGAGATTTTAACTGAGAAAAACTGCCTTTGTTTTAAATGTTTAAACCCCATCTTTCAGGTGTATGAATGCAAATGTTCCGGCCCAGTTTAATAAACCAAATCTATTGCACACATTCTGGTATCCTGTGTCATGAACATCTCTGCAGCCTTACTCTTCCTGAACTTTCTCTGCATGTTTCATGCAGAACACATTTCTTCTTCCAATCCAGGTTGCGCAGCGGTGTCTTAAATGTGCAAAAGGTCCTGAAAAACAATGTGAAACTTGGCCTTGGCACAGGTTAGTAGTTTACTGTAAAAACGGCTTCTTTTGGAAAACACTGGGGGATGCAAAAATGTGCCTACTTGTCGGTATTTAAAAGACGGCATGTCTCCAGCTTATGGACCTGCTTTTGTTTTTTCACTGCTTCTAGAGTAGTGAAGTCTAGAGCTAGTTCTAAAGTGTTTAAAAAGAAAACCAATAATGAATAAAGAAAGTTCTCTTTCTGTTGTGAGAATAAACAGGGCTTGAACAACAACTTTTCAGGTTTCTGATATTGTGTGTTGTGTTCTATTTACCTGACATCTGTGAGAGCTCATTTATTAGGAATTACACATTCAGAGACAGCTCTTTGCAGTAAAACTTTCTGTGTTTAACACATCTGTTTGTAACATTTAATTAAAGATCATAGAAGTTGAACCCAGAGAATTATTCCCAAAGCTTGTTTCTAAGAGTCTGATCTCTTCTAGATGTTGCTGGTGGATATTCAGCTTCTATGCTTGATGCCATCAGGAAAACAATGATGGCATCCAATAGCCTTCAGATCAATAAAGTGAATGAAACAGGACTAACTCTTGAAGAAGCTTTTCAACTTGCCACTCTGGGAGGAAGCCAAGGTAAGAAGAAATTTCTTTAGAATTTCTTTAGAGAACTACAGTTCCTCTTGATGTTAAGTATACCTCTCTTTAAAAGGTGGCTGAATTCACAGAATTTCTGGTGCCAGAGTGATAGCATCTAAAATGGCATCTGGGGAGAGAGGTCCTTCAGTCTCTCATACCCATGCTAGGCTCATCGCAGAGGAGTATTCATATTGATGTTGAGAGTTTAACAATTGAATCTTAATGATTTTTCAGGGCTGTACATTTTCTTTGCAAAGATCCTCATACTTCTTAATCGTTAGTGCTAGTGTGTTTATCACACCAACTGGAAATTTGTTTTTTCAGCCACCAGCACTTAGAGGAGAAGATGTGCAATTACTGTACAATCATGAATCCTGTTTGTCATTGGTTTCTAATTTTGTTTCTGTTTTTGTAGCTCTCAGTGAGGCAGTTCATCACTATCTTTTCAGCAAATCAAAACATCATGCAAATCACTCCTCAGTCAGAGAAAAGCACAAAGTTTAAGCAGGATATGCAAAAATATTTTTTAAGGTATAACTACATCTGCAGAATATAGTCATATAGTGTACATCATATAGTGTATCAGTTATTTTGGTTCACTGGTATGTTTTGCCATGGTCATATGCAGATACAGTTTTATACACTTAGCAAAGTTTTAGCAGAACTTTTATGATTTACGAGAGAGCAAATCCACACATAAGTAAAAATTTAATACCATTTCAGATAGCAGAAATGAGCTAACTGCTAAAGAACTGGTCCTAAGTCTTCCTGTAGTTGTTGGAAAACACCGTTATGAACTATTAATGGAAGTCTGAAAGAGGTAATGAAAATATCATCAAACAGGTCTTCTCAGGACTGCATTTGAATTTCTAGAGGGTGTAATGGGGAAAGAGAGAAGACAGAAAACGGACAGGGGACGAAAAAGGAGAGGATTTGGGTTTTTATCACAGTATATACTGTTCTCATGAAAGGTGGGAATAAATTGGCTGAGATATGGAAAGGAATATTTGTTAAAATCCCAAGCTCGCACATGGTTTCCCTTCCCAGCTACTCTTGCTCTTGTTTTATCTGGGTTCTTAGGTTTACTTAGTAGTCTGATTATTTTTTTATACTGATTTTGAGCTGGTTTTTACTTAACGAATCACTTTCGAGGACAGAATAAAAACTATTCCTACAGCCTTCCAGTAGCCTGGACAGGTACGGTTTGCAGACGTTTAAATGAGCGATTATACGTGTTGCAGGTCTTTGTTTTGCCGAGACTTCTAAGCACTTATCACCCCCTTGTGTTTAATCTAAAACTTGCAGTGTGCTCGCAAGCCTTACTTTCTGTAATATACGAGATCATTTTCGTTGAAACTCGTAGGTAGTCAAAATATTTCACCATTGCAGGAATTTCACCATTTTTAAAGTACTGTGAAGTTCCTGCCACACACAGACTTCACTGGAGGCTGAAGTTCTTTTGTAGGAGAGGAGCAATCTGAAAAAAAGTGAACAAATTATTTGCAGATATTATCCCCTTTGATAACTTAGTTTAACTCAGGAGTATTGGAGAAGCTGAGTTAGTACACATATACTTTGTCCAATTTATAACTCTCTTAAGTAATTTCCAAGGAGACACAGAGGCCTCTTTTTACGTATTCCAAGCACTTGCAAGTTCCTAGCTGCTGAAGATGAAATTGTAGATTTTCAGTGCTTATGGACCTGAGAACCAGAGGTTGTAATAAAGCTTTGAAATAACAAGCCTTACAGGTGGGTATGAGACTTCAGATCTGGCTATGATTATTTTTCCACACCGTATTGTTCTTTATTCCTGGCAATTACCTTAAATTGTTCTCTCTGCACACCTCTGTTATTATCATATTGTTATATGTAACTATTATAATAGGTATATACAAACTGTCAAAGCTACTTAAGCTGTTTAAACAACTAAATCTAATACTCTTAGCAAGGTCAGTAGTATTATATACTTTAATCTTTCTGTGACTTCATTTTATTACCCCTGTTGGAGCTTTAATGTTTTTGCAATGCAAACAATTATTGTTACCCTTTAAACTGATAGTGGTCTATACATCACATCTGCAATGACACAAAATCAATGGAGTACATTCAAAGAACAAAAACAAAAGAGGGGTTCAAACTGTTTTTCAGATTTCTTTTACCCTTAAAAGATGCCCTTCAGAAAGTCACCAAAATACGCTTCTTTTTTTTACTGAGAGATTACTTAAGAACTCAGATGCTAACGTACTTAATGTTGAATTTGCTTTCCTGTTTTTCATTGTATTAATCCAAATTCTTGTCATTTTTCTTATGAACATCTCAAGTAAATTTCCAGGTGCTTCCAGATGGTGGAAAGAGGTTTATGTTGAAGATCTCTTCTATTTTCATCCTCAGTTCTAGGACTAGATGACGTGATTGGCAACTTTGAGGTTGGCAAAGAATTTGATGCACTGCTAATCAACACGAAGGCTTCAGACAGCCCTTTTGACTTGTTCTCTGCTGATAATTTTGAGGTAATCAGAACAGGATTAATGATCAAAAAATTACCAGTAAGGATGTGGGGAAGGTCTGTGATATAGCCAGAATAAATCTCTTGGGAGTTATTCCAATAACAGGAATCAGATGTAATATACCACTGCTGTCTGTATTCAGCAAAGAAAGCCAGTGGTTATTTCTTTGTTTGTGTTTTTTGGTTTGGGGTTTTTTTACAACCTTGCTGTCCTCAGTGACTGTCCCATATCCCCATCAGCAAAAATGCATGTAACACTTTAAAATGCATGCTTATTTAGCCCAAGCTGAGAATTAATCTATTTGCAGTGACAGATGGCAGCCAAGAAAAAGCAATTTAGTTTTAGTTAATGCTTTGAGTTCAAACTCAAAAATGGCCACCTTTTACTAGATAAAGACTAGCTTACCTTGACTGCACTGCTGTTGTAAACTTAAGAAAGAACTCAAGACAGCTAATTTGAGTTGAAAGCACAGTTTTTATGCAAACATCTAAGAAGTATTGACATTATGCAATAGGCACATTTCATGCAAAATCCCTTATGACTTGAAAAGGTAATGATCAACTTGAATTTAGTGATGTGTCCAGACTCCCGGTTGCTGTCTCTTATTTTAAATGTCACTGTTTACTTAGATATGTCGAAGGAGGTGATCCTGCCCCTCTACTCTGCTCTCGTGAGACCTTACTTGAAGCACTGTGTGCAGTTCTGGTGTCCTCAACATAAAAATGACATGGAACTGTTGGAACAAGTCCAGAGGAGGGCCACGAGGATGATCAGGGGGCTGGAGCACCTCCTGTATGAAGAAGGGCTGAGAAAGTTGGGGCTGTTCAGCCTGGAGAAGAGAAGGCTGCGTGGACACCTCATAGCAGCCTTCCAGTATCTGAAGGGGGCCTATAGGGATGCTGGGGAAGGACTCTTTAGAGTCCTACATTAGGGACTGTAGTGATAGGACAAGGGGTAACGGGTTCAAACTTAAATAGGGGAAGTTTAGATTGGATATAAGGAGGAAATTCTTTCCTGTAAGGGTGGTGAGGCACTGGAATGGGTTGCCCAAGGAAGTTGTGAATGCCCCATCCCTGGCAGTATTTAAGGCCAGGTTGGACAGAGCCTTGGGTGTCATGGTTTAGTGTGAGGTGTCCCTGCCCATGGCAGGGGGGTTGGAACTAGATGGTCTTAAGGTCCTTTCCAACCCAAATCATTCTATGATTCTATGTGGGCATAAGTGGTAAGGTGGCTGTTTCTTAGTCTGTTTAAACCACAATAATATGGATTAGATTAAATTCTTTAAACTTACTTCCTAATTCAAATAATTCTGGAAAAAATATTTTCGAGTTTAAGTCTAAACATCTTTAGATAACTTAACAATTCTTGGGACTTTAAGAATGAATAAAATTTTTTCTTATTTTTCAATAAGCAAATGAATTTGAGAACTCTAAGAAATAGGAAGGGGAGGTACTGTGTTTTAGGCATATATTTGTTTATACTGTCAAACTTGTGCAGTGTTTTCTTCCCAAGACATACAGCCTCTTTACTGAAGGTTGCTTATGAGAAAACATGCAAATTAAGTTTTGGTTTACTGCTAATAGGAATATTATGGGAAACTATTTATATCAGTTCTTTCAAGCTTCAAGTAATTATAAGATAGCAGATACGCTTTTGAATTTGGTTTTCTCACACTTTTTTTTAGGACACTCTCCAGAAGTTCCTGTATCTAGGTATGTTCTGAATCTCTGCCCACATAAAATTGTCTTCTTGTTTCCTACATAAAAAATTGCTAAAATTAATGTTAAGGTTATTAATGAACTTATTTATACATAATTAAATATACATTTGTTTACAGTAATTAAATATAGTTATTTACAATGTGTATAAACATTAATGTCACTACTGGTATTTATTTGCATAAAATATACAATTACTTCTATTTATTATAAATACTATCTATTATAAATACTGAGTAAGAATTGAGTGGTTTAACTTTTGTTCTTTGGGACATAGTTTAGCATGATCAGATGCACTTTGTAATATTGATTACCACACCTATATTTATATACAGTATGAGCTAAATCGTATTTCACAATAAATTTACACTGACATGCTAATCACCAGTTCAGAACCAGTTAAGCTCAGAAGGATTTCTGCAGACCAGCTACCACTGTGGATTTTTTTTACTCCCCCCCCCCCCCCAAAAAATGGCCTTTAAAACACAGAAAACACAACCCAAACAATTCTACCCTGCTAAGAGAACAGATACTCTTTGTAGGGCATCATATGGAACAAGAGCTACACTGCCTGTTATGTTCTTCCAAAGAGATAACTGGTGGTAGTTTTGGCCATGTTTGTGTCATTCTCCAATTCAGCTTTTGCCTTTTCGAGAAAATAGCTGAGGCAATCCAGCTTTACTGCTGCCTGGTACCTAAGTTAGTTCAGATGCAACAACATGAATTCTGTACAGATAAATAATGTTTTCAGGGTTTGAATCTATTAAATATATGAAAAGCCCATGTCACACATTAGCAGCTGAATGCTGTGTTTCTTAAAAGAAGCGCGGGTAGTTTAAACATCCATTGATCTTTGTGGTAGCCCTGACTATTTTTCTCCAAATAAACTTTCACATTCCTAGGAAACAGTCACTGCAAATGGTGTATTCCAAAACTCATTTATGGATTGCATAATTTTCATTAATTAAATCATTGCATAGATTTAAGTGCAAATCTCTGTTTTGACCATGTTATTTCAGGTGACGATCGGAATATTTCTGAAGTGTATGTGGCTGGAAGACAAGTGGTTCCTTTTTCAAGTTCAGTATAAATCCATTTCCCTTTTCCAAAATACTCTGCTGATAACTCTGCATCTGATTTGGAACAGACTGATTAAACACAGTGCCTGACCATCAGGAACGACACCTCATTTTTGTTTAATGTTTTAAAACTTGCAAACACTAAAATTTTGTTAGACATTTCAAGAATTACTTTACCGAAATTGTCATAGTTCTAGAGGAAAAGAATATTTAAATTTCTGTGTAAAACAGCATGTGTGCATAGATAAGGGATTTGATAAATATCTTAATTAAAGAGGACACCTGCTATTCCTAGTGTAGGAAGCATTATGAAGAGCAGTGAGACCACCATTGTCTATAATGCATCTCAATTAAAAAAAAAAGAAATAATAAATAAAGAGAAGCCAGTGCTAGTAAATTGATTTTTCAGGTAATGAATATAATGGAAGAATTCAATTTCTGTAATATTATATTATTTCCAAGTATGGTAAAATCAGTGGCATTTGGGGGCATTTAGAACATTTCCCAGTTTTCTTTAGGAGTTTATTTTTTAAGGTAAATTGGATGAGAAGTATGTATTCATAAAAAAATAAGGGTCCTTATTATTAAAAGAGCTCAAATTTGTCATCTGTAGTCAGAAGAGAATTAGTGGAAGAACAAAGAAATGGGGCATTAGTTGCAGAGACATGGCCTGTGAGAGTGGGAGGGCTGCATTGTTCTGTGATACCATAAGCTGAAAATGCATTTCCACAGAATTTGTTCCTATGTCTAGAACTGGTCAGCCAGACCTTCCACCTACTCTATTGCAATCATCTCAGCTGAGTGACAGCTGAATGAAACCTGTGTAAATTTAGAAGCAGGCATTAAGATACTTGAGCAGCTATTCAATGGCAAACAAATTATGATGTTTTTCTGGACTAAAGAGAGTGCTTCATCTAATTCAGCTTCCTGCAGAACCTGCTAAAGGTCATTTGCTCCTGACTGTTCAGATAGAAGGAGCCCCTTCTTTCTGCAAGGAAAGTGAGTGAGTTTTTAAAAAGTCCAGGAGAAACGCTGTTTCTGGCCATTACCATCTTTTACTTGAGGTGGAAATTTTTACTGGACAACACAGCTGAGCTTTAATGTGCTCTTTGGTTTCTTTCAATATGGCAGCCATAATTCCAGCCCTGTACAATTCCAGGTAAAAAGTGTGCCCTTCTTATTTTGGGAATCTGTGTGATTTCCTTTTGTTTAAAAAAGCATATTTCACTATTTTTTATCAGAGACTTCTTTTCTTTTTTTTCCTGAAATTAGTTTGAGAGGGGATTGCTTCTTGTTTATTATGTTTTTGCAAGACAAAAGATGTAAGCTTTAATTTCAGTGTCAGTAGAGACAATATTGTGTTGAGTTACTACAGATGTGTGGAATATTGTTTTATGGCCTGCTTCAAACTCATTTAATTTCACTAAGCTTTGTTTCATGCTATTATCTCACTGTATGGGGATATAAAGGCACAGGACTTCCCTGTGTTCACTGAACAAGGGAGGTTACTGCACCAAAGTCTCATTTCATGTCTACTTCTGAGAGAGTACTTGACCCAACATCACTGATAACCTTCTGATATTAAAAGCATATTCAGAGCTTATGTACCATTACGGTTACGTCTACATGAGCCAGTATGGCATCAAGTGGAAGTGTAAGAGCTGCCTTGGGCACTTAAAGCAGCACAGTTTTTTCAGTGTGTTTTGTTTTTTTTTTTTGCCATAGCCATTTAGCCCTACTGACCAGCAGGGGATACTGGCTTTTAGGCACCACTGAGGTGTAGCTACGCGGCTTGCTCCTGGAGAGTTGGCTTGGTATCTTCCCAGGGCTCTGTGCTCTGTGTGTGCTTGCGGAGGTGCAGCCTTCATATCCATTATGATCAATGATTCCTAAGGCTTTAGGAGTCAAGATCTGGGGATTAAGATTTCCACATTCCATCAGGGTGTTTTCCTAACCACTTTGTTTTTCATGCGTCCCAGTCACCTACACAGTAGCACACATGCTTGGCAAATACAATTGTCAGCTCTTTAACTTGGTTTCCTCATTCAGGGGGCATTTTTCCTCATGAATTTTGACATGACTTTAATTGACCAGATTTCACATTCCAAAACCAAAGATCTGTGAGACATATATTTTAATCCTCCCAGCTACTGTTTAAAACTATTTTTAGGGAGTTACATGGTTTTCAGCTTTGGCTTTCCTTCAAGAATGTTTTCTGGTGCAGAGAAAGATCACACACCTTTGTGTACAATGTGTATTTGTGCCCTACTTCTTTACCTCCAGAACTATAAATTAAATCAGTGCTTTTAATTTAGTGGTAGCCTTAACTGTCTCTGACTGCACTGTTTCTCGCTATTTTGTAGTGTTGTTAAGAATGGGATTCAGCATTTCTTCTGAAAAAAAAAATTGTGGGGGAGGAGGAGTTGCTTATTTGCAAACTGTGAATACAGAAAAACTTTAACAAGTTCAACAGTATACTGCTGGCCCAGTTACAAAGGGATGCTTTGGTAGCCCTAGGATAACTGCTGCCAATGAACTTTGTATCTGATTGTTGGCTGTGTCATGAGCAGTTTAATTCTTGTTAAATTCAGGCACAAAGTAGGAACTCTGCCTTTTGATTATAGCTTTACTAGTGTCTAGTACCCAGACACTACCCAGTCTCAGAAATGGAGACTCAACTTTTGAAGAATCTTAGCTGGAGGAGGAACTTCATTTGCAGATAGTGCCATGGGCCCCTGCAGTGCCAAAGACCAGAAGGAGTGAGGAGCAAGATCTATATAGCATTGCACTAATTGCTGAAGTGCTTAGGGGTGAAGGAAAGAAGCCTTAATTTTATGTGAAAGGAAGCCAGTGGAGGAATTAATACAACAAATAAACTGGGAGGTACTTTAACCTCAGCATCTGAAATAGAATTCAATGGAAGAAGGCTGTAGTGTCGGAAAAAAAGGTGAGGTTGGGTTCTCTGGGATAGTCCTGAAAGCTTGTTCAGTGCAATATGGCTTACACACAGTTTAGGAGATACAGAGGATGTAGTTGCCGAACTTCTCTGAAGCAATTTTGGTAAAGTTCCTGAGGATCTTACTGTGAAGTTTCAGTCCTTGTGACTCTCTGGCTATGTGTAGATTTCTGAAATACTTGTTCTGGTAGGGGAGGATAAGCAGATGAAAGCAGTTACTGCTGGGACTTGTAAATCTACACTATATGCAACGTAAGACTTCATATAGTCTGTTTCCTTGGATAAATGTCCCACTGCATATGCAGTTTGAAGCAGGCCAAACGATTGGTTCAGACTCTACGTGTCTCTTTTAGAGGCTAGAGTGTATTTGGCATGCAGCTGGGCCTCCAGTGTAGTTTTCTTCAAAATAAACTCAATTCTTGCATACCAAAACCACCCTGCAAACTGAACTAAGGTTCTGTAAGAGAGGATGATTGAAAATTCACTTCAGAACAGCATTACTGTCTCAAATCAAAATGCTAATGGAGATGGAGCTGAGGACTTGGACTATTTTCCTTCCATCCTTATTGTCACAGAACTTAGTACCTGAAGGCAAATAAAAGCCTCCTCCTTCTCTTCCTTCCTCTTCTTAACAGGAAAAAAAAATGAATAAAAAAAGGTAAAAATAAAGCAACCAAACACTGAGGGGAGATGAGTAAGTGGAAGAAAAGAAAGGGATAATTTTCAGTCAGTATAAATTGACAAAGTGCTACTGACTGAAAATAAAGCTTCTGGAAAAATATACACACAGCTGTTTCCAAATGTCACTCCCTATTAATTCTCTTGCCAGCTTGTGGATTGATCTTTGTTTCTTAATGTGTCTGTTGTGTTCAAAGTTATCACACCATTCAGACAAAGAAAAGGGTAGTTTATGGAAAGCTTGCTTGTTGGGACAATATGCTTACTGTGTTCTATGTTCAAATGAGCACTTACTATAAAAGGAATGTATTTAAATTACTGTTACAGGTTGATCTCATTGTGTCACTTTAGGTTTTGATTATTAATGACATGCTAGTAAGTATTGCCTATGCATTATGCAGCATTGTTTTAATTATTCATGTGTGGCAAGTGGAGTTCTGCACTTTAAAATGTTGCCTTGACCTAAAGCAACATTTGGGTTATATTCATTCTGCAGGGTCTGTGCAACCGGAAAGCTCTGTAGGGGAAAAAAATATATGTTTGCCCACTGGACTAAAAATTTTTCGTTATTGTATTGTTGTCCTGGGTTCAGCAGTAGCAGTCATGTTTCTCCTTTGTGGTAGCTGGTGCAGTGCTGTGTTTTGACTTCCAGCCTGGGAACAATGTTGGTGAAACCGATGTTTTCGGTTGTTGCTCAGTGATGTTTACCCTGACCAAGGACTTTGTGAGGCTCATGCTCTGCCAGGGAGGAGGGGAAGCTGGGAGGAAGCAGAGACAGGGTGCCTGACCCAGGCTAGCCAGGGAGGTATTCCATACCACAGCACGTCATGCCCGGGGTGGGGGATAACTGGGAGTTACCCAGAAGGACACAGGCTTCTGGGTCAGACTCGTTTCTTGGCCGGTGGTATTGTATTCTCTTCCCTTGTTATTTTCTCTTATCATTGTTGTTGGTGGTGGTAGCGGTGATGATTTGTGTTGTACAGTGTTTGCTGGACTGTTCTTGTCTCAACCCGTGGGAGTTGCACCCTTTCGATCCTCCTCCCCGTTCCTCCGGGAGCAGGGAAGGGAAGAGCCCGGGGGGAGGGGGGGGGGGGGGGGGCCGGGCCCTCGATTGTTGTCAGCTCGGCACCAATCACTGGGAGTGAGTGAACAAGCTGTCTGGCTGAGTTTAAACCACGAGAATTGTAAGTGGACTTACTGTTAAAAAAAAGAAATGTTAAAATGACCCTATATAAAAATCTGTGCATTGATTATACACTCATGAATGAAAAAACTATAATGGCTTAATGAAAGCTCACACAAACAGTGTTTTAATTTTAAAATATTTAGAGAGAAGTAGATTCTTTTATATTTTAATTGTGATTATTCAATGCAGATTAGCAAAAAGGTAATAATCCTTGCTAAATACCTACTATTCTACTGACAAAGGAGAATGTAAGTATTCTGATCATACATTCAAAACCAATTCACAAGTCTTGAAATGAAGACTTGTGTATTGTCTTTCAAAGAATATCCCAGTTTTAAAATGAAAATATATTAACAACATTACTCAAACAGGCTGTTTAAAAATACTGGTTTGAGCTTTTCCAGGAACAATCCGTAACAGAGGATATGGTGAACAGCTTTTAAAATACTGGATTTCTGTGAATAAACGGTGCTGCCTTATCTGCAGCCTGTGTGTAGCAGCGGTCAACTCTTCTCTAAAATGATAGTGTACAAGTAGTAGGTATTTAAAAACAAAAAACAACCAAAGGATTTTGAAAATTTGAGAAAGGACCACAAAAAGGAAAAGAAAAAAGAAGAAATTTTAGAAGGGTGGTATCAGAATGCACAATAATGCAAAGCAGAAAGAAGCTGTATCAGAGGTATTCAAAAACAAGATAGCAGTGAAGTTTTAGGTGGGAAATTCTCAGAAAAGAAGATAGATTTTCAGACAATTTTCTGTAAAATCACAGACCTCATTCCTTCTGAAAGCCATTGAGGACCAACGACTGAGCACATTTCCCAAGTAGTTACTTACATACTTGATAATACAAGCCCAAATAATTGTAGCTAATCCTAGCACAATTACGTAACACTTTTCAACCTCTCAACCTCTACTTCAAAACTGTAAAAACTCCAGAAGAAACCTCATGCAAGGACAGGCTACGCTTTATCTCCAAATGTCCTATGAAGCATTTGGGATTGCCCAGCTTGTAGACTAAAATGGCCTGGTCCTGAGGAACAGTCTGTGCTCCTGCATGCTCCAGACATCATCCTCCATCATGTGCCTCATGGAGCAGTGATGACTGAGTTGGACACTGGAAGACAAGCACGTGGTGTGGCTAGAGTAACTGAAAATAAGCTAGCTGTCTTAAAAAATCAGACTGTTTTGAACTTAATGCACTGCAGAGAGCACAGGGTTTTAAATTACATGAACACAATGTTGATAGTGAATTTCTAGGTACTAGGTACTTTGGCTTAAAGTTGGAGCTTTTTTAAGCCCTGGTACTGTATGTGCAACAACTCATGCTTCTCTCAGGAGTGAAGCCAGCAAATGACATTGGCTCTCTATACAAAAACCAATAACAACATCAACAAAAACAATTCTTGGGAAACAAAAAGGACATCAGCAACATCAACAGCAATCTGTTGTGCAAAGTTAATAGCGCTATGAGGTTTTTTGTTGTTTTTTTTTTGTTTGGTTTTTTTTTCCAAAAAGCTGAGCAATGGTTTTGGAGTGCAGTCTCCTGGAAATTTTGGTGGAAATTTTTTCTTGGAAAAGGCCCCGAATCAGCATGTACTCCAACCCAAGGGGTCCCCTGTGGCTTCTCTAGAGGCAGTCACTTCTGTAGAAGTGAATACAACAGTCAGGCCTAGACTCACACTTCCTCCTCTGGTCAGGACTCACTTTTATTCTGGCTTTAGACCATGGTTTCTCATCTTCCTGGTTTTAGTTTGAAAGTAACTGCTGAATGAGTGGAGTTGGGAGAAAGATAGGGCTAAAAGGCAATCTTACACCTGCCTGCCTAAAACAACTCAAAATCCTTGTCCCAGCAAGTAGATGCTATGTTTGCACAGCTCTTGCACTCAGTGATTTGGCTTAATGACTTAAGTCAGCTTTTAACAATTAAATCCAGCCAAAACCAGGACATAAAAGACCAAGAGGTAAACTGTGAGCAGCTAACAAAAACATAATGATGTTTTAGCTTGATTTGCACTTAAGTCACCAAAGGCTTTGCATAGCCAACTGCTCCTAGGCACATTTAGGTACAAAAGCTTCCTAGTTATAAGCTTTCAGGAGAATGGACCAATCTTAGTGACAAGAGAAGGCTTTGATCTCTGTGTGCTATCTGGCTTTGTGGCTTCAGAGTGGGGCTGTATCTTCCTTAAAAAGCTTTTACTGATGAAGCTTTTAAAAAGTGGGTGCACATACTCCTTAGCTGAGGAAGTTTTCAGCCCTTGCTTCAAGCAGACCTTCTTTCCCCCAAGGAATGTTGACATCTCAGTGGAGTAGGCTTTTCTGATTCTGGTCCTTGGTTTTGTCTGCTTGTTGCCTGTTGTGTGCAGGCTCTGGTTCTTTTGTTTGTGAAAAGTGCCTAACCGGAGTTAATGTTGAATTTATCCTTCTTGTTGTTCTCATGTAGTTTCAAAGAAGAACAATGTATTAGATAAAGATGGCTTATGCAATTTCTGCTGTTCTGCTTGGTTTTGATCATGCTAAATGGGAAGTCATGTACTGTGGAAACAAAATAAAGAGGCCTTGTATTTACACCAGCCCTCATCTCTTTATATGTTTGACTTTGGAGAGAAAAAGGTGTCAAGCTGACAAATGAAGACTTAAGGTGAAAATCATAATACATAGTGAAGTGTTGGAGATGCACAGAACTCACCTTTTCCCTGGGAAACTCAGGCACACCCATCATAGCTGTTTGCAAACTCTGCTTAACATGCACAGTGGTATTTAGGGGATCTTTTTCAGATTCAACCCTCTAACAGCTTTTGGTGTATCTCTATTACCAGATTTGTTGGCTTGATAAGTCAAAGCCAGTGCTTCAGTAAGCTCTTTATTATTTTGTGTCTAAGTAGACTATCCTGAAATGCTTGCTTCTTGTGCTTGACAGCAAGCGTACAGGGTCATATCTCCTGTAATGCATTTTTCTTCACTTTCTTACTTTGCAGAGCTTAGGCGTAAAAATGTCCCCAGTCTAAGCAGCTCTGAAACTCACCAGAAGTGGGTTTTCTTAGGACAAAAACTACCACAGGAGAATCACTAATTACACACTGAAGAACTGTATGCTGAGGTTTTGAGAATTATATGCAAGTTGTTACCAACTTATGCAAAATTATGTCCACAAGAAATAAAGCTGCTCTGTATTTTCATCAACCAACTTATCAGCAGAAGTCATTCAAACCACAGAGAAAAGACAAGAAAAAGAAAACTTCTGTATACACAACTTTTCTGAATAGAAAGGCCCACTTAGGTTTTTAACATAGGAATGCTGTTACTTAACATTTTATTTTGGAAAATAGCAGTAAGAAATGTTATGTGCAACATTTTGCTAGAGTACTATATTGAGACTTCCTATTTAAAGCATTATAAATCCCAAATGTGACTGTAGTTGTTACAGTATACGGGATCTGTGAGCCAGTTTGAAAATTTGAGAGCCTTTGAGTATGTTGTCAGTAAATCTCAGGCTATAATTACCTTTTTCACTACAATGAGTTGATGCAGGCACATTGTACACAAGCAAACACTGAATTTGCAGGCTTAAAAAAGCCATTGAATAGTCAAGAGCACATCATTACCAGTTTGATTTTGTCAGTTTCCCATGGCTATCAGAAAGAAAACAAAGACTCCTCTTGGTTTTGGATCAGATACTGGATCATTTATAACTGAACTTAATAGGTTTATAGCTCATGAGTTTTGTGTGTAGTTAAAATACAAGATGAAGGTTACTTGCCCTACGCTTGTACTCCATAATCAGCTGTCTTCTTTCCAAAATAATGAGTTTATGACTGCACTCTTGTGTTAATTTTGATTAAAACTGTCCTTTAGGAATTAACCTACAAATATGGTCAGAAATGCCATGAAATCTGGATTAAATATGAGCAGTGCCACTCCCTTTCATATGTTGTCCTAGAGGTACTATCTCACAATATAAAAGATATTTTGCTTCTTAAAACCTAGAAGTATTAAAACGGTAGCTAAAGTTTAAACTCAGCTCGCACTTAAAAAAGTCTCATCCCTCCAGCACCCTAGTGAAGGTTCATAGCTGTAAGAAACATGCACAGAGCGGGTGGGCTAGTGTTGTTCCAGGCACAGTAGACAAGAGCAGCATCACACTACACACATGCTAAATGCTCATCATCTTGGCTTATTATGGGGGTTTGGTCCCTCAAGCACGGTGCTAGAACTCTGTGCTAACAGTCTGGGATGTAGCTTGGACACCTCATCACTCAGCCAGCCTACATGAGCAGCCCAAATTCTGGTCAGAGAGCAGAGAGCACAGTTTGCTGCACTCTTTGGCTGGTGCCCCTATCACTAGGGCACCCTTACCTCAACACCATCTCAAACTGTCAAGAGTAAAGCTAAATTCAAACTGCTGTACTTGCACATCTTCTAATATAGTTCATGTGCATAGACAGCTCTGTTTTGGGACTAAGATACGGTGAAGCAGTGTGTCATGGGAAACTGTGTGGAAGAAAAAGGGTGCAAGTGCTTGCAAAAAATCAGCCTGATCTTAGGAAATACTCAACACTTAAAATGGAAATGAACTGATCAGATTGGCACTTTTGGAAAATTTCCCCTAAGTGACCTTATTATGGCCTTTCAGTTCTTACAAGGGGCATATAAGAAACATGAGGAGAGACGTTTTAGCAGGGCCTGTTGCAATAGGACAACAGGTGATGGTTTTAAATTAAAAGAGAAATTCAGACTGGATGTGTGCAAGAAATTATTTACAATGAGGGTGGTAGAATACTGGCACTGGTAGAATAGTGGATAGAATACTCTGGTTGCCCAGAGAGGTGTTGGACGTGCCACCTCTGGAGATATTCAAGGCCAGGCTGCATGTGGTTCTGGGCAGTATGGTCTAGTTGAAGATGTCTGTGCTTATTGCAGAAGGGTTGGACTATTTGACCTTTGAAAGTCCCTTCCAGTCCAAACTATTTTATGATTCTATGAGCAACCTTCACAAACACCTACAATTCAGGTTCTTTTTCTCTTTAAAAAGAACAGTGGTTGCTAATACTATTACTGCTTTGTAAAACCCTTTGAGAAGTTGCAGGGCAAATGGAAAGAGAAGAAAGATAAAGTGAAACAGAAAGAATGGATTACAATGGAATTTATTTATATATACTCCTAAAAAGGAGCATTTTTAATTCCCATTTGAGTAAAGAGCATCTGTAATTAATGCTGGCATTAATGGGTGGCTTTTGTTTCTAGCAGGGATGCTAAACTGTAATGAGAGATACAAGCATTCAGGCACAACCACCTGTGCAGAAAGAGCAAGGTACACTTGGTACAGTAAACCCCAAAACTGTAATACAGGCAAGTGAATGTCATTGCTTCATTGTCACATCACCTCATTAAACTGATGGGTGATTTCAGGTGTGGAGGCCATGAAGGCAGCATCTAAACCACTAGGACAATAGGGTACAGAGCACCCCTCCTGCTCCTTGCCTGGGCACAGGCTGGGTTTGGGATCACCTGAAATGATGGTGAGGATTTACAGAGAAGGCGCTTTCCAGGGGCATGGCACTGGAGAAATTGATCAGTTCCCCACCAATCCTTGGGTACCTTAAATATACACAGCAAAGACGCAAAATGATTCTTCTCACAGCAACATCATCTTGGCTTTTCCCTGCAAGAAAAGCCAAGTGATTGCCCTGACTGAAACATTCAGCATACAGCTGCTTGTAAATTGTGAAATGCTTTCTGGTGGAAAAATGTCATTCAATTAAAGTATTGTTTCCAATGTTTCATCAATGCCACTGGAATTTAACCATCATTTAGATAAAATGTCTTCAGTAGGAATTTTCCCAACTGGCAAGCTATATCCAGCTTATAGGTAAAATAGCCTTATATCTCTGAGGTAAGTGCTCAGTTGGGAGATCATGGTTTTCTGTATCCCTGTGTCAGCCTGGAATCATTTTTCTGGGATACTGCAAACAGCTGCTCCTATAATTAGTTCATGAAGTGCCACTTCTAAGGTATCCACTAAATCCAGCTTAGGCTGTCAGCAGCAGAAAGTTACTCAAGCTAATAGTTGTTCAGTGCCTTCTGCTAATAGAAATGCAACTGAATGAAAATTAAAAATACAGAAACAAAAAGCAGAAAGTAAAATTTCACCCATTGCAAATAGTATTGACTTTTTCTTGACAGATGTTATCTGTAAATCCTTCTGGGCATATTAGGCTGTTATGGGACTAACTAGGTATCAAGGTGGCTTGAATAACTCTTGCTTTTACTAAATACCTCTTCTGTGAATCCACAGAGGGCTTCAGCTGTCGCACCAATGACCCTGGCCCTTCCATCTTCAGACCAAAACACCCCACCCCTTTCTCATTCATTCGAAATAATGAATTTGATAAAAACAACAGAGAAAGGGAGTGGGTTCAGGAGCCCTGGAGCTGTTGACTTATGTTCTTCATATGGAGAGCAGGTATTTGCTCAGTGGCACACCAAACACAACTCATCACATCCATCCTCCTTGATTTGGAGAAAACTCCTGGAACAAACTTGCCAACAAAGTTTTCAAGTTGATAAGCAGGTGTAATTTAATGAGGCACCGGGAGACATGGGGGATAGTTCCTCCTAACGTGTATCACTATATTGCTACACAGGCCATCCTTATATAGTCACTGGGCATACATACATATTCATGAGGCTACACATGAATTACATCATTTTCCATAAAGTTTCCCGCATGCATACAAAAATGTGGTGCTGGTCTTTGAGGGTCTTTTACTTCTTCCAACAATCTTCAACACTTCTGACAGTCTTTGAAGCATCAACTTAATTAACATTACAGACGTAGCAATAATCCTGTCCTACTTATCAGTTGGTTTAACTGCTTCCATCCTGAACATCTGCTAGTCCCTGATACTCCCCAGTAGATGTTTACACCATCTTAATGGGTCCATTAACACCACAAACACAGCAATCATCCTGTTCTTCTACCTATCAGTTAGTTAAACTGCGTACCTCAGGGGTATCTGCTAGTCCCAGATACTCCCCATCCCCAGGTCCTGTTTTTCTATTCTGTTTTTCTTACACTAGAACTAAAGACCCAAACCTATGTCAACTACCTTCAAGCACCTCAGTTATTTTCCATTACAAAGCCATCAAACTTAATGTTACTTAGCACTGATTGCATTTTGTGCTTTTCTGTCTCCTTGTCTCATCCTGAAAGGATAACTGTACTTGCCTGCGGAGAAGGACTTGGGGGTGTTGGTTGATGAGAAAATGAACATGAGCAGGCAGTGTGCGCTTGCAGCCCAGAAAGCCAACCGTATCCTGCACTGCATCAAAAGGAGCGTGACCAGCAGGTCGAAGGAGGTGATCCTGCCCCTCTACTCTGCTCTTGTGAGACCTCACCTGGAGTATTGTGTGCAGTTCTGGTGTCCTCAACATAAAAAGGACATGGAACTGTTGGAACAAGTCCAGAGGAGGGCCACGAGGATGAACACGGGCTGGAGCACCTCCTGTATGAAGACAGGCTGAGGAAGTTGGGGCTGTTCAGCCTGGAGAAGAGAAGGCTGCATGGAGACCT